CCCCAGGTGCATGTGGCTGGTGCCCTAGCCACTGAGCCACAGGCGCCGAGCCTGTTTGGATTTTCTTAAGCTAGAGTGCAAATTTGGTTATTCCCATTAGATTCACATATTTATTCATTTGATCATTCAATAAACAATTTGTTGGCTCGGCGCCTGTAGCTCAGTGGTTAGGGACCTGGCCATAGACACTGGGGCTGGCTGGTTTGAACCCAGCCTGGGCCTGCTAAACAACAATGACAACTACAGGGTGGCAACTGTGGCTCAGTGGGTAGGGCACCAACCCCATGTATCGAGGGTGGTAGGTTTGAACCTGGCCTTGCCAAACTGCAACAAAAAAATAGCTGGGCATTCTAGGGTGCCTGTAGTCCAGCTACTTGGGAGGCTAAGGCAAGAGAATTGTTAAAGCCCAGGAGTTGGAGGTTGCTGTGAGCTGTGATGCCATAGCACTCTACTGAGGGTAATAAAGTGAGACTCTCTCTTAAAAAAAAAAAAAAGAAAAACTGAGGCATGAAGATCTCTTGAGCTTAAGAGTTGGAGGTTGCTGTGAGCTATGCTGACTCCATGGCACTCTACCCAGGGTGACAGCTTGAGACTCTGTCTCAGGGGAAAAAAAAAAAAATGACAACTACAACAAAAAAATAGCCAGGCATTGTGGCAGTAGCCTGTAGTCCCAGCTGCTTGGGAGGCTGAGGCAAGAGAATCACTTAAGCCTAAGAGTTTGAGGTTGCTGTGAGCTGTGATGCCATGGTGCTGAGACTCTGTCTCAAAAAAAAAAAAAAAAAGGGCGGCACTTATGGCTTAAGGAGTAGGGCGCTGTCTCTATATACTGGAGGTGGAGTGTTCAAACCCAGCTTGCGACAACAAAAATAAATAAATAAAGGTTTTGTTTACTTTGTGTCATCTCCTGTTCTTTTAAACAACTGGGACCGTTTTGTCTTCCATTTGGCAATTTGTAGAGAAATTTTTGGTTGTTGTAACTCAGGGATAGGGGTGCTACAGATGACGGATAGAAGCCAGGGATGCCATATAAACATCCACATCCATTAAGGAATTACCTGGCCCACAGTGTCAGTGCTTGGTTGTGAAACTCTGCTTTAGAGTTTAGCTGTTTCCAAGTACAGATAGAAAAAAAATAACTTTATTAAAGATTTATTTGATTCAAAAAACTAAAATGTTTACTAGATTTTTAATTTTTAAAAAAATTGCTTTAAAATTTTTCAGAAAAATTAACCATAATTATATAACCCTAGTGCAGTCAAATTTATAAAAATTGTGTTTTCTCATTTCAAAGAAGCCCAAGTTGAAAGTAACATTTATTTGGCTGATTGCATTGGCTCACACCTATAATCCTAGCACTAGGCCTTTTTTTGGGGGGGGGGGGGAGGAGACAGAGTCTCAAGTTGTTGCCCTTGGTAGAGTGCTATGACGTCACAGCTCTCACAGCAACCTCAAACTCACACGTTGAGTGATTTTATTTCCTCAGCCTCCCAAGTAGCACTAGCACTTTGGCACTTTGGGAGGCCAAGGCAGGAGGATTGCTTAGGCCCAGGAGTTCAAGACTAGGCTGACCTAGAGTTAGATCCCATCTTGAGAAAAATGGAACAGTTAGCAGGTGTGATGGTATGTGCTGTTAATCCCTTCTACTCTGGAGCCTGAGAAAGGAGTATCACTTGAGCCTAGGAGCTTGAGGTAGTAGAGCTCTGTTAGGGTTGTGAGCTATGATGACGCTAGTGCACTCTAGGCTGGGCAACAACAGAATGTTATCCGGTTTCAAAAAAAAAAAAAATTACTAATCCATAGAAAATAACCACTTCGTTAAGATTTCAAGAAATGATAATACTTGCATAAAATGTATTTTGTAGAGTAACTTAAACTCAAATTTTATCTAATCATGATTTTAGTTTTGATTGATTGTGTAGAGCAGTGGTTCTCAGCCTATGGGTCATGACCCCTTTGTAACAATGAAAATACATCCTGCATATCAGATATTTACATTATGATTCATAACAGTAGCAAAATTACAGTAATGAAGTAGCAACGAAAATAATTTTATGTTTGGGGGTCACCACAACACAAGGAACTGTATTAAAGGGTTGCAGCATTAGGAGGCATTAGGAAGATTGAGAACCACTGCTATAGAGCTTTCTTTGCCACTTTGGAAATTGGCCTATTTTGTCCTTCTGTCCTTAACAGAAGTTACAGAATTCTTGGAGTATTCCTGGAGTACTTTTGGAGTACTTGTATTTTGTGATCCTTTATAAGCAAACTAATCTTCCTCATAATAGGACTCCTCTGTTAACCACTGTTTCCTTTAAAAAAAATAAAAGGCACGGAAATTGTTTTTATTTCTTGTTAAGACATGATACTTAGTGACTATATCTAGAACTCTTGCCTCTAAGTCAGTGCTGTTTGAAACACATAATCTTTGCAAACAAAGTTCAAGAAGTTACTGTAAACTTTTCTAGTCTGCTTGAGAGAGCAGAAAGTACATTTTATCTCTTGACTCTTGGAAGGGATTGGTTGGGTCTTCTGCAAGCTATTTGCCTTTACCAGGACATATTTCTTTTGAGTATGTATATATTGCTAGGAGTGTTACTGCTACTTACCTACCACTATCATAACGGTGAACAGGATTAGTGTCTAGTTTAAATGACTAAGATCTTTCAAAGGAGGTTGAGGACAGGTTTTTTTTTGAGACAGAGCCTCCAGCTGTCCCCCTAGGTAGAGTGCTATGGCATCACAGCTCACAGCAACCTCCAATGCCTGGGCTCAAGCGAGTCTCCTGCCTCCGCCTCCCAAGTAGCTGGGACCACAGGCGCCCGCCACAACGCCCGGCTATTTTTTGGTTGCTGCCGTCATTGTTGTTTGGCAGGCCCGGGCTAGATTCGAACCCGCCACCTTAGGTGTACGTGGCTGGCGCCTTAGCCACTTGAGCCACAGGTGCCAAGCCGAGGACAGGTTTTAAATTACTAGTCTAGAATTAGATGTTAGTAATTGACATTTATTTTGAGGAATAACTTTAAAAATTGCTAACCACATTTTGTTTTCTACATTAAATGTAGCAATAATTATCTGTATAATCTAGGCTTTTTGTTTTATATGGCAGGCAACTCTCTTGTATTTTGTACCTTGGTTAAATCCTGTTTTATTACCCTTGACCATTTTTCTACAGATATTTGTCAGGATACAAATCAGGTTCTCTTCAAATGCTGTCAGGGTTCTGAAGAGGTGCCCTGCAACAAACCAGTTCCTGTAAGCCTCTCTGAGGATCCCTGCTGCCCACTGCATTTCCAGTTGCCTCCTCAGATGTATAAGCCTGAGCAGGTACTGTCTGTGCCAGATGATCTGGAAGCCGGTCCCATGGATCTGTACTTGAGTGCTGCTGAGCTTCAGCCCACTGAGAGTTTACCTCTGGAATTCAGTGATGTAAGTTAGAGAAGCCCTGTCTTGTTGGCTCTTGAGATAAAGCCTTATTTCTTAATGGTGAGAATTGGTTAGTCTAGAAGGACCGTAGATAGAAATGGGAAATTCGATACAGGTTGCAGTATTGTTTGCTCAGAGTAAAAATAAGGTTTGGGAGGGCATCAAGGGTCTTTTTTTACTAAGAAAGACATACCAGGATAGAGTAATTTCTGAAAAAGATAGTGCTTTTTCTTTTCTTTTCTTTTCTTTTTTTTTTTTTTTTTTTGAGACAGTCTTACTCCATGCTAGAGTGCTGTGGCATCAGGCTAGGTCACAGCAGCCTCACATTTGTAGGCCCAAGTGAATCCTGCCTCAGCCTTCCACCACAATACCTACCTAATTTTTTTATTTTTTTGATATTTTTAGTAGAGACGGGGATCTTACCCTTGTTTAAGTGGGTCTAGAACTCCTTCATATAGGGGATCCTCCCACTTTGGCCTTCCAGAGTGCTAGAATTACAGGAGTGAGCTACTACACCTGGTAGAGGAACAGTGGTATTGAGAATATACTTTTTTTTTTTTTAAATACGGAGTTTCACTATGTTGTCCTGGGTAGAGTGCTGTGCCATTATAGCTCACAGCAACCTCAATCTCCTGGGCTCAAGTGATCCTCTTACCTCAGCCTCCCATGTAGCTAGGAGTACAGGCACTCGCCCTAACGTCTGGCTGTTTTTAGAGACAGAGTCTGGCTCTAGCTCAGGCTGGTTTCAATCTCCTGAGCTCAGGCAGTCCACTGCTTTGGCCTCTCAGAGTGATAGGATTACAGGCATGTTCTGTTCCTTTCTTTCTTCTTCTTCGTTTTTTTGTTTTTTTTTAAATAATTTCTCTTTTTTAAAAAATTTGTTTGTTTTACCAGTAGGTTTTGGAGAAATAAAAAAAATTGTAAATTATCTGGGGCTTATCAAATTTTTGATTTTTGTTTTTCTTTAAAAGGAAAATACAGTTTTTTTGAGATGAGGTCTTTGTTTTCCAGGTTGGAGTGCAGTGGTGTGATCATATCTCAGTGTAGGCTCAAACTTCTGGGCTGAAACAGTCTTCCCACCTTAGTTTCCCGAGTAGTGGGGCCAACACGACCTGGCTAAGAAAAATACAACTTTTTAATAACCTTGATTATAATTGCCTTTTTTTTTTTTTTTGGTGGAGACAGAGTCTCACTTTATAGCCCTCAGTAGAGTGCCGTGGCATCACACAGCTTACAGCAGCCTCTAACACCTGGGCTTAAGCAATTCTCTTGCCTCAGCCTCCCAAGTAGCTGGGGCTATAGGTGCCCATCACAGTGCCTGGCTATTTTTTGATTGCAGTTTGGCGGAGGCTGAATTTGAACCCTTCACCCTCGATATATGGGGCCAGCGCCCTACTCACTGAGCCACAGGCACCACCTGATTATAATTGCTTTTTATAAAATCTATTTCATACAGTCATAGAACATAAGCACTACAAAGTACCCTTGGAGGGGCACCCAAGAAATGAAAGTAGCCTTGAGATAGAGGTTACAAGCTGTCCCTGAGTTAGAAATAATCTGATTTGGCTCGGCACCTATAGCTCAACCGGCTAAGACGCCAGCCACGTACACCTAAGGTGGTGGGTTCGAATCCCCAGCCCGGACCCGCCAAACAACAATGATGGCTGCAACCAAAAAATAGCCGGGCACTGTGGTGGGCGCCTGTGGTCCCAGCTACTTGGGAGGTGGAGGCAGGAGACTCGCTTGAGCCCAGGAGTTGGAGGTTGCTGTGAGCTGTAATGCCACGGCACTCTACCCAGGGGTACAGCTTGAGGCTCTGTCTCAAAAAAAAAAAAAAAAGAAAGAATCTGATTTACGTACAACTCACATTTATGAACAGAAGCTATTACAGTAAGTCTTGGGATTGCCAATATCCAAATAATGTACGACTGGCACTTAGAAATGGAGCTATTACAGTTACTAGGTAAATTTACCTGTTCCAGCTTACATACAAATTCAACTTAAGAACAAATCCACAGAACCTATCTAGTTTATAACCTAGAGACTGCCTGTACATACTTAAGTGCTTCCTATACTTTTCTAATGAGGTTATGTTGAAGAGAATAAATGAACAGGTAGCCTAGATTGATAGACAGATTTTTGTCCACTTGCTCTTTATGTTTGAAGAAAACTCAGATTTATCTTCCTTGAATGTAGTAACGTGAGCAGCTTTATGAACTTATTTCTGTTGCACTTAGTTCAATGATTGTTACTTGTTTGTTCCTCAGAAAATATTAAAACAAGATATTGGACATTATGAGATGTTATCATAGGTATTCTGATATTTAAGGAATCTTTAAGAAATATTTAAAATGTATTGTCAAATCTGTTAATTTTTAACTTGCGGTGTGAAGTTTTCAAAGAACGCATGTATTAGTTTTGAAAATTTAGTGGGTTTTTAAGACGAGCCATTGTTAGTCCAGGCACGATGGCTCATTCCTTTGAGTCTAGTACTATGGGAGGCTGAGGGGGAGTTGATCTCAGGAGATGGAGACCCATTCTCTACAAAATATGGAAAAATTAGCTGTCCATGGTGGTGTATGCCTGTAGTCTCAGCTACTTGGGAGACTGAGGTAGGAGGATTACTTGAGCTGGGGAGATATAGGTTGCAGTGAGCTGTGACCATACTGCTGCACTCTAGCCTGGGTGACAGAGTAAGTCTCTGTTTCTAGAAAAAAAAGAGGTTTGGCACCTGTGGCTTAGCAGCTAGAGCACCAACCACATACACCAGAGCTGGCGGGTTTGAATCCAGCCTGGACCTGCCAAACGACAACTACAACCAAAAAATAGCTGGGAGTTGTGGCAGGTGCCTGTAGGCCTACCTACTTTAGAGGCTGAGGCAAGAGAATCGCTTAAGCCTGAGAATTGGAGGTTGCTGTGAGCTGTGACGCCACAATACACTCTACTGAGGGCGATATATGAGACTCTGTCTCGGAAAAAAAAAAAAAAATTAACCTTTCTTGCTAGAGGTTTAAAAATGATATGCAGCTATTTGTCCTTGATCATCTGCTATGTTCATATTCACGTACTTTTTGGTAAATCGTATTATTCTTTAAAAAATACAGTTTTATTCTTTATCATTGGGGTGTTAAAATTCTCTAGAAAATGTTGAAACAAAATATAGTTTAAAGAACTTAATTTTTGTTCTCCCATAAATTCTGGATATATTAGTGTAAATTAATATAAAATTTGGTACAAAAATATTTCTGAATTACATGAATTTCACCAAGCAGTCTTAAACTCATTGCCTATGTGTAGTTATTGTTTCTATCATTTGTTAATGATAACTTCTGACAGTTTATGGCAAGACCAAGATATTTTATTTTAAAAAAATTCTTTTTTTAGGAAGGGATGGAAAGAGAGTGGGGAAAAGTAGGCAGGTATCAGATATTTATATGTATAAAAATGTTCAGCCTTCCAGTTTGGATATTACATTTGCTTGTTTTCTGTGCTTTGAACCAAAGATGTTTGGCAAGTAGCACCTTAATACCTTAATCCTGTTACTTGAGTTCCTTTTTCTCTTTCTATTTTTTGATGGTTTTTGATTTAAGAATGAAATATGGATTCTTTGTATCCTGATAATTTAGTCTCTAAATGTTCTTATGATAGAAATTTTTGCTGATCCTTTTATTTTAGGATTCTTTTCCCAGTTTTAATTTTTGTTAAAGAGAACACTGTGTAAAAAAGGCCCTTTCTGTATTTATTTTTCTTTGAAAACATTTCTATTCTGTTATCATCTTGAAACTTGAATTCCTTTTGCTTCAGAGCTTAAATTACAAGTATAAAATAATTGTACATAATAAAAGAATTGGAGAAAACAATTTATAGTTTTAATGGCATAAGAACCCTGGTTTCTGTGGTTAGTATGGAATTTTTTCAATATCTCTGAAAATAAATGGTAGATAAGGAGAGACGGCTTAAATTAGACAGCGTTAAGTCTTAGTACTCTCTTTCTGCCTTTCTTTTCTTTCTTTTTTGAGGTAGGATTTTGCTGTGTCGCCCAGGCTGGTCTTCAAATTCCAGGCCTCAAATGGTCTTTCTGCCTTGGCCTTCCAAAGTGCTGGAATTATAGGTGTGAGCCACTGTGCTTAGCCTAGTAGATTCTTTTTTTTTTTTTTT